ATAAATTTTCTAAACTAAACCTTTAAGAGATCAAATTAGCAACATAAACATTCATAAAAAGAATACACAGCTAACTATTCCAAATGTGACTGAGCACAGAAATGTGTATGACATCTTTATGGACATCATCAAGAAATTAAATATTTGGACCTTCTACAGCTGTACCCTGAAATCCAAAGGAATAAAATTCCTCAGTAATTTACCTTACAAACAACATAATCCTTAAAATGCTATATTAGCACAATTTTAAGATGCTTATTGTAAGGCTACTTATAACAAAAGTGAAAGCAGTAAATGCATTAAATCACTTTAAAAGTGAAAGTTTTAAAGTGATTTAATGCATTTATGCAGTGCTAGGAAATCTTGCTCAGTTTTCTAATATGCTTGACTGAATAAAATTTACATATTAGAAAAAACAAAAAGAAAAAAGAATAAATCTGCCATGGCCTGGGGTATAAAAAATAATAAATTTTAAAAAAGAAAATTGACGTTGGGTCTATTAAATGCAAACATTTTCATAATTTTTATCCCTATACCGTACCAACTTGCAAGATGAAAACTTCAGGTCTCGTTTCAGTCTGCTTTCTAATCTATACTAGGCACTTTTATTGTTTTGGGCCACAAAGTAAAAAAACTGCAAGTCTTAGAAAAGCTCTCTCCAGTTCCACCACTAAGCTGATGAAGGTCATGGGTTGTCTATTCATGGAGACCCACAATGATACCCATTTACAGTTCTCATTATCCTCCAAAAAGAAGGAACTCTCTTTCAAATGTTTGCACTTGGCTTCCTTGTAGGAAGAGCCTAGTTTATGCACAAACATAAAATAGCTATACTGCTGCTGATCTTGTCATCCAATTTTGCAATCCACTCTTTAAAAATGACTCTAAAAAATGTCACTTCCAGACTTTAAAAACTGTATTTATTCCAAAACTTAGTATCTAAAATTGTAGGTCCCATTTAAAACTTTAACTTTCCAATAGATAATACTTATAAAAAAACAAGATTCTTACCTAAAATAGAATAAACAAATGAACTAGTCACAAGTTAAGATTGTAAACATTTTTTCAAAGCAAAACAAAAAATTATTAAGGGCTTCCAATTTTTTATAATCACTCACACTTTTCCTTTGTTGTAACACAACATGCCTTTATACACTGTATTTGTAAATTTATTTTTTGGCGGGTAAAGAATTTGGATTCAGAGCTTTGGTCTTAATTCCTAAATTCTGTTCATATCCATTTGATCACATATAACAATTTTGACTGTAATTGTTCCAGTAAGAAAAAAGTTATTTAAAATTCTTAACAACCAATGGAAGCTGTGTGATTTTTGAGTTACTAAAGTTTTAATACATAAACACAAAGATTAGCCATCTTTTTCCTAGATTGGAAATGTAAACAGAAGGTCACCACAGTTGTCTGTTAAGAGTTATTTATTAATTGTTCCACAATAGTTCTAAAGTTCATAACAAACCAAAGTACTGAAATAAGTCTGAACTGAAAGAACGACAAAATCAGAACACAGTTTTCCAACTAAAGATCCTTTTTACTCTTTTAACACTGTTAATATTGGAGTAAATTTTATATTTCCTATTTTCCTTCAAAATCTATTCCTTTTATTCTCCATTCTAAGATATCCCTTAACTCTCTTTACACTCAAACCCTGCCCATTATTCTTCTGTTCTCTATAAACACGGGAAATACATTTTCCCCTCTGGAGTATGAGGTCCAAATCATTGAAATTTTCTCCAGCTATCTATCTACACTTCCCAGGATATCAATTTCAATATATAACATGCTTCACAAAGCTTATCATGCACAGTACATTTCAACCTAGCTACTCGCACTCAGGCTATAATGAAGTACAGTCTGTTATTAAGAACTCAGTATTATTCCTCCTAGGTAAAAAGGTGTAGGTTGGCTTGGTGTTTTTTCACTTTTGCCCCAACTTATGTGGGAAGCTACTCTGCAACTGAAGAACCACAGTAGCTGACTGTAATCATTGTACTCTATATAAACACAACCTTGTTGATGAGGAACTACCGTCAAGTCTACCTATATGGTAGTTATAATTATGAGAAGTGCAAAGAATTATAAAATATATTCAACTAATTACTAGACCAGCTTATCATAAAACTCTATGGCTTTATGTAACCTAAATGAATTCCATAAATGCTAAGTTGTGAAACTGCAGATAAATCAATTCAGAAGCACCCCCAATATTTGATATATTTTTTTTTAGGTTTTAACTTTCTAATTATCTATACAATAAAATTTCTATATTTAGGATGTCTTCTAAATTCTTAGCCTGGGGTCCATAACTAAGAATTTATTTCAAAGTTGGAGATCTTGTGAGCATGTAGAACTGGCTTGCACATTTTCATTTGTTGATGTATCTCTACTAATGTAAAGGGGCTGGGGGGCCATCAATTCTATCAGCTGCCCAGAGTCTGTGACCCAAAAAAACATTAAGCAGGACTTCTATGAGTAAGCCAAAGATTAATCAAGAATTTAAATAGAATCTATTTAAATTAGTCACACTCAAATACAGTCAAGTGTAAGACAATAGAATTCTAAAATGCTGTGTTCATGCTAATGTTCATTTTAAATGCTACCAACAATATAAAAAAATATAACGAGAATACAATATTTTCCCTCAGTATCTATCAGTCTCATAGAGGGTACAAGCAGACTGGTAAACCACCACAGATCTCTCTTCTTAAACACCAGGACAGATCCCATAACAAAATATTCATGGAACATTACTGACATAACCTCATGCAACATGATGCATGGATCATATCACAGCACTAACAAGAGTCTTGTATCACACTTTAAAAATGAAATCCTATCAATATGTATCATAGAAAACATGAAGACCATAAAACTCAGAAAATGATAGTCTTCAGGTATGTTTTACTCAAAAAGGAGAAGTTTGAAGTTCAGAAGCTAATTATTTTAGGTGAGGGAAGTTCTTCTATTTAATAAAAGCCTATGAGGGGCCAGGCGTGGGGTTCACGCCTGTACTCCTAGCACTCTGAAAGGCCATGGCGGGAGGATCACAAAGTTGATGGTGAAACTCCCATCTCTACTAAAAACACAAAAATTAGCTGGATGTGGTGGCCGGCACCTGAGGTCCCAGCTACTCAGGAGGCTGAGGCAGGAGAATCGCCTAAACCTGGGATGCACACGTTGCAGTGAGCTGTGATCCGCCATTGCATTCCAGCCTGGGCGAGAGCCAGACTGTCTCAAAACAACAACAACAAAAAAGAGCCTATGAATTTGGAAGGTAGAGATTCCATGTGATCTCATGAAGCCATATTGTTCAAACTGTCACCCTGTCATCTGGCATTTTGTAGTTACTTGTTATTAGTAGCATTGCCTCTCTCATCTGATAAGCCTAATACAGAAAACTAAAGTAAAATAGTTGGGTCAGTTTGTAACTTTTAAAAACACACTAAAAAGTACAGATGTTTTTCACTGTTCTCATTATTAAATTACCTCAAAAATACTGACCATCAATTGCTAAATTATGGTAGTCCTTATTCTGAATTTCCAGTAGCACAACAGAAATTCAAAAGCATTGTTTCCTACTTCATATGCTAACATCTTAAAAGTAAAAAAAAAAAAAAAAAAAAAATCTTAATTTTAAAATGATCATATTCAGAGACAGACATTGCACAGAAGAAATAAAGGCAGGTGGGGCCAGGTGAGGTGGCTCAAGCCTGTAATCCCAGCATTTTCGGAGGCTGAGGCGGGTGGATCACAAGGTCAAGATTGAGACCATCCTGGTCAACATGGTGAAACCCCGTCTCTACTAAAAATCCAAAAAAAATTAGCTGGGTATGGTGGCGCATGCCTGTAATCCCGGCTACTCAGGAGGCTGAGGCAGGAGAATTGCCTGAACCTAGGAGGTGGAGGTTGCAGTGAGCCAAGATTGCGCCATTGCACTCCAGCCTGGGTAACAAGAGCGAAACTCTGTCTCCGAAAAAAAAAAAAAAAAAAAGAAAGAAGTAAAGGCAGGTGGACGGGTTAAAAAAAAAATCAATTTGTTAGGGTCACAAATTGATTGTAATATTGTAATATACTGTATATATTATATATACATAAGGTTGTAATATATTATGAAACCAGTTTTGGAAAAAAAATTTTTTTTTATTAAAAAGTTGTAATAAAATGACAGTACGATTTAGATTACAATGGTCTTGAGCATTTTAGGTAGGAAGAAGGTATTATTAAATCATAGTTAGCAATATTTTTAAAAATTGGGAGTATATTAGAAGGAAAGCACTAAACCTATAAATAAGATGCAGAAAATCAAAATTTGTGAATAGGTAATAATATTAGTAAACTTTTAAACCTGAAGGAGAAAAAGTAGATCATAAGACAATTGTGCTTTGAAATTTAGTGGCTATGATGTTAAGGAACTGGGAATAGATACATTAAAGGAGAAATAGAGGTCTCAAATAGGTCTTTGAGGCTTTGGTTTTTTTTGGTATATGATAGTATTAAAGGAAATGATAACGTTTTACGTTTTTTTGAGACAGTTTCGCTCTGTTGCCCATACTGGAGTGCAGTAGCGCAATCTCAGCTCACTGCAGCCTCCACCTCCCGGGTTCAAGCCAATTTCCCTGCTTCTGCCTCCAGATGAGCTGGGACTACAGGCACACATCACCACGCCCAGTTGATTTTCTGTATTTTAGTAGAGATGAGGTTTCACCGTGTTGCCCAGGCTGGTCTCAAGATCCTGAGCTCAGGCAATCCGCCTGCCTCGGCCTCCCAAAGTGCTAGTATTATAGGCGTAAGCTACTGCGCCCAGCCTTGAATCCAACTGCAACTAAAATAAACCTAGAAACATAAAATATGTAAGTTAAAAAAATACAATTAAAATACAAGCCTCTAAATTGCAGGTTATGCCATGGATGTGAATATTTTATAAAATGTTAATAGAAAAATCTGAAAAATGTGACTGGATATTAAGTGATACCTCCTTTCTTCAATTTTGTGATTAACAGGACTTTTATTGGTAGTAAACTAGAGCAAACAATCAGAATAATACATATGCAGTATTCAATACACACAATAAAAGTTAAAGAAATTCAAAACCTGTATAAAACAAACTGGAGAAAAATCATACAGCTTAAGAGATACAGTGGTAAAGGTCCTCTCCATCCTTTGATTACAGCTTGTACTCTGTACTCAATAGAACTTACCGCACTTACTGAAATAAGAAATAAACACTTTTTAGTACTGAGTGTATTTAAGAAGATTAAGTACATTTTCTAAGAATCTTGCAATGACAAGTTGGTGACCCCTTAGCTGCTAAAGCTAAAGGTAGGAAAGTGGGAAAAGGAAATTAACTAATACTTTGTAACAATTTTTAATATTTCTTATTTTCCAAACACTGCTTTTATAACAGAAGTGTTTTACACTTGCACAATATTAATTACTTTATTATACACGGAAGCCTGCGGTAGGCTGATTACACAATAAGACTGCAAACAACCAGTGGTACTTTTCTGACGTCAGAAGAGTACATAAGACTGAAACATCACCAAAAGTACATAAAAAACTCATCAGCATAAACATCAAAGTACATTAAAAAATATAATCAGGAAAAAAATACAATTGCTAAAAAGCAGTTTAGAGTAGAGCCACTGCCTATCAGTAGCTTCAAATGGCAATTAGCATTCATAGCAAGTTTTGATGACTTTACAAGACCCCTGTACAATACTAACGCACCCTTCTGCTAAAATGTACATTAAAGGCCGCAATTTCACAAAGAGGTTCTGATGTTATTACTACATGCAGACACATTCTTATCCCTCACAGGAGTTGTCACCAGTTGGATTTATAACCTTATTAATATCTATCCAAGAATATGAGGTTTTATTATATTTGGAAATCTGTATGGGTTAAAAAAAAAAAAAAAAAAAAAGGTAGGTTTGAGGGATGCTTACCCTACTGTTTTGTATTTGGATGCCCTAATAAAGCACATAGTAAATTACCTACTGGAATGTAAATGGTTCTAAAATTAAAACTGTCAAAATAGAAAGAGGGAATAAGGAAGGCCCAAGAACTCTTAAGAGGCTAAAAACAAAAATTAAAAAAAAACATAAGTGTAGGTAATATGTAATAGCACAGGAAAAAAGAATCATTTTAGGCCACGTATAATAAATAATGCATACCCCAAATTTCAGTTAATTATATGGGTTCTAATACTGGAACCAGCTAACCACTTGGGCTTCAACACTGTACTAGATGTCAGTAGAATCGCTTAATGGAATTACAGCCTTGTTACAGTTGGGATAAAGAGAGGGTGCTTTTTTTTTTTCCTTCTTTTGTTAAAGCTATCATTCCAGGCTTTGATCAAAGATCCAAGAATATTTGTTCTACCAGGCTGGAATGAATGTGGTTTGGAAGTTCAGAGTACATTTAAAAGCTGCAAGAAAATATAGGTAGCCAACAATCTCAGAATTTTGGATCAGCCCAGATGGAGATAGCAATTTGAAATGTTTTCGATCCCTTACTTAAATGACGAAATGTGTATCAGCCCAGAGAGAGCAATTTGAAATGTTTTCGATCCCTTACTTAAATGACGAAATGTGTATCAGCCCAGAGAGAGCAATTTGAAATGTTTTCGATCCCTTACTTAAAAGATGAAATGTGTATCATACTATCTGTAAATTGGATATTCCATTACAGTGATAACGTACAGAATTCCCATGCGTTATTACACTTTCCTGAGAGTAAAGCAATTAGAATAACCTTAATCCTAGCAACAAAGTTTTTTTTGTTTTGTTTTTTTGTAGGGTTTTTTTTTTTTTTTCTTTTTTTTCCTTTTTTTGCATTTAAAACATTTGGGCTATTCCCTGACGATCTATACATGTAAATTTGATTGCTAAACATTGTCACTTTGAATGTCAAACTATTTTTAATCTATTGATTTTGATTAAAAATCATAATACAAACAGCTAAAATCACGCTAACAAAATAAACTAAATAAGAAAAGTTGCATTGAAAGGGCATTACATTATTCTTAATAGGATCGTGTAGAAACATTCCAATGGCAGTGTTCTCAAAATAAAACAAAATTACATTAGAAGACCCCCAGCCTGGTCACTTTTGGGACCTTACCTGTAACTCTGACTGGTGGGTGTCTTTACTCTTGTACTACATGGCTCACTTACATCAGACATCATATTTGTATACCCTGAGAAATCTGACACTGAAGTCCTTACTCTATGGTCCACTTCTCCATTAGAGTTAGTGATAAAGGTCATTGGCACCCTGCTGCCCGACTTAAACTGAGAACCAAACGCTTGTGCAAAGTTCTCAATCTGGTACGTTGTTCTAGGCTCTATGTCTTTCTGAGGATCTATCTGGCTAGCTAACTCCTGAGATGGAATCTGAAAGCCTGTGGAGGACTCTAAGTTTTTCTGTTCCTTCTGGCTAGTCAATTTCTGAGATGAGGACTGGAAGGCTGACGAAGTCTCTAAGTTCTTCTGAGAATCTATCAGATCATCCAGCTCCTGGGAAGGTGTCAACTGCTGATGTGTAGCATCCAAAGCAGACAAATAAAGACCTGGCTGCGAGCCAAACAACATCCCAAAAGGAGGCTTTGGCAATGAAGATGGCAACACTGAGGTAACAGATGGGCCGAAACCACACTCCAAAGGAGATGTAGTGTATATTTGTTTTTCTGGAAACAAAGTGTGGTTGTGGAGAGGTGAAGACAAACTGACAAATTGGAAACCGTGTCCAAGAGTAAAACTTGCATTAGTGGATTTTTCAAAAGCCTGTTGGAGGTATTTGGAGTATTCTTGCAACATGCTTGCTTTATCATTTGAAGGTGTTTGGGTGCCTGGGCTCAAATTTTCTTCTTGAACCAATTCTGAGTGTTCTCCTGAGGTGTGTAAATCCACTCGTGGTTCTGTAATATTGAAAGGATCCTCTTTCTGGCTCTCTGATTTGTTGGAGTATTGATCCAAAATACTTTGTAAAACCTCATCAGGAATTCCAGACTTGTCATGACAAGACTTAATTTCAGCATTTAGAGCTGAGGAGTCAATAAGTGACAACGGTGCCTCACTGTCCAAAACACTGACACCTGCAGACTGAATGACAGACTGTTGGGAGACCATGTGTCCTACGTTTATAGAAAAGGCACTGTTGCTGCTGGCAGTTGGTAAATATCTTCTTTTCTTTGAAAACTGCATGGCATCATCATAATTACTACTTATTTGACCTTGTTTGCCACTTGTACTTTGGAGAAGACCAATGGTCTCCACACTATTATTCGATACTATGCCAAGTGAGCCACTTGGTTTTCCAGACAAGGATTTCTGTCCAACTATGTCTGGTAATGGTGACACAAAATTAAGGTAGTTTTTATCTGTATTCTTTCTGCTTCCTTTCTTAAAGATCAATTTTGGCACCCTTTTCTGCAGTTCATCTATTCCAGTGCCAATTATGCCTCCACTGGAAGACACAGTAGGCATCTCTACAGAGTAACTCTGCATGCTTATATTATTTGAAATTTGTGATTCATTTGTTTTACCGGTCTTCTGTTCCTTATTTTCAATAGCTATGTTTTTTGACTTCGTTTTTCTCCTAGAAGAACTTGTATTTCCCTGAGACAACACAGCCAGGTTACCCAGATTGTTATGGTTTGATGACCCAGGTTCTGCACTAGTGGCTCCTTTAACTATGACCTCACCACAGGTGCGCCTGTGCTTCAACAATCTATCAGTCCTTGAAAAATACTGTTGGCAAGTGTCACACTTATATGGCTTTTCTCCACTATGTGTCCTCTTGTGTCTCTCCATATGGTACTTCTGAATAAACTTCATGCTGCACTGATCACACCCAAATGGCTTCTCTCTACTGTGAATTTTCTCATGTCTCTGCAGTAGGTATTTCTGAATGAAACCCATACTACACTGGCTGCACTGGAAAGGTCTTTCTCCTGTATGAATGAGGACATGTCTCCGCAGGTGATAGGAGCTTCGAAAAGCAGCACTACAGTGATCACAGATATGAGGTTTCTGACTTGGGGAGAGGATGGCACCTTCTCCATCTCCAACCAAAGAAGGTTTGGAAGATGCACTTGGCTTCCTCTTGGCTTTGATTCCCTGAGATTCTGGCTTTGGCCTTTTTGCCTTTTTGACATTAGTGTCCTGCTTTGGCTCCTCATTGCCATGGTGGTCATCAGTCCTGCTACTGCTGCTGAGTAATACATCACGGTGGTGCTGGGCTGGTTGCTGCTGGACATGCTGGTGGAGAATACTGAGGTCCTGGATGACGCCGTGACTCCCCCCTTCACCGCCTCCTAGGCCTGGAGATCTCTCTTCAGCCCCAGTGAACAGCCCCCCATAGTGGTGGTGGTGGTGATGGTGGTGGTGGGACTGCTGTTCCTCAGGATCCGCGGGTTTCTCCTGTTTGATGCTAACCAAAGACTGCAAGAATCCCCAGGAGGTCCTCTGCGAGGGGAAGGCCGCGGCTGACGCCGCCGGCTCCTTCTTGAAAGTCATGTCCGGGGCTGGCGGAGGGGGGGGCTCGGCGGCCGGGGCTGCGGAGGTAGAGGAGGATAACACGCATTGCGGGGGAGGGGCGGCCGACCCGGCCGGCCGGGTGAAGCTGGTGACCGGGGGAAGCCGGTGGTTGAACATAACCATACCCTGGGGAAAGGAGGGTTCCATCTCTACCCTCCTGCCGCTGCTGCTGCCGCCGCCGCCGCCACTACCGCCGCCGCCGGAGCCGCTACCACCGCTACTGCCGGTACCACCGCCGCCACTCAGGAACCCACTGCCGATTTTCATACCCCGGAGGAGGCCTGGCTGAGGAAAGGAGGAGGAAGAGGGAAGAGGGAGGAAAGGAGGTGGAACCGGGCCCCGGGCCGGGACCACCACAGCGCTCAGGACCCCGCCGCGCCGCCGCCCAGACCGCAACGCGCCCAGCACTAATTCCCAGTCCAGTCGCCTCCGGCACCGGCACGCATGCTCCTGCGACTCTCCCCCGGGCCTCGCGCTCTCCCTCCTGGACCCACCGGCAACACTTACGGGTCCCGCCGCCGCCGCAGCCGCCGTCGCCTCCAGTTAATAAAAATAACGCCGTCCTCTCCACAATGGAATTAAAAGCCTCCTGTGTACTGCGCAGCCGCGGCGCAGTGTCTGCTGGGAACTCCTCGATACGGCCAGAGGGGAGTTCTGAGGAGCCAGGGCGCCTGCGCCGCAGCTTCCGCCCGGCCTGCCTGTCAATCACTGGGGTGGTTGGGCGGAGGCGGGGGGGGCTTGGGCAGGAGGGGCGGGGATTTGGAGCCTACTAAAAAGGGGCTTCCGAGGAGCACAGGCGTGATTGGTGGGCTGCACTGAAGGAGATGAAAGTGGTTGAGGGCTTCTGGGGTGGAACCAAAGGGGCGGGAAGCTACTGGGGACCGTACTACAGCGTGGCGTGGGAGATGCAGAGAAAGGGGCTGGAAAGAGAAGGTGGGGGAAACTGAGGACTCAGTGTTGGGGCTTTCTTTACTCTAGGTTTTGCAATCCAGTTCTTGAAACAAAATTCAAATTCAGAAGTGGATCATTTAGGGCACTTTTGATTCTATCAAAAAGCATTCAATTTCAAATGCTCAACATTTATTAAAACAGGTTGCTTATGTTATCCCTTGGAATTTGGAAGCACTAATAATGGGCGCATATCCTTTGCATATATGGGAGGAGCCTGCTTTGAAACCGCAATTAGTGGTACCGTTGGGGGGGAAAAAAAATTGTCTTACTGCCAACCTTCCTGAAGACTATTGGAAGAGGAAACCGAGCGTAATCCAGGTGCAGCAGTCCTGTAAAACACGCCCACACGCATACTTCATTATCATCACATGTTATTTAAATACCCTAGTACCCTAGCCTGGCTAATCAGTCTGTTTGCCACCTTATAAGTGCCTGGCCCTTTATATTGTTTATGAAAAGTTAACCACCAGGCCGTACTAAGAGCTCTGCTAGGATCCACTCTTTCCTCACCAGTACAGAAAACTGAGAAACCCATTGCAAATTTAGAAATTTTTCTCGTAATGGAAAATTATGAAGTAAAATCTTTAAAATCAAACTTTTATCAACAAAATCAAACAACAGACATTTATTCAGTACCTAATGTGTACAAGGTACTCGATTTCATGTTAAGCATGCAGAAAATCTAAACTAGACACTTTCCTAGTAAAGGATATTTATAAATGAGAAATTTTAAATAAAAGAACTAGAACTATGACAACAGCTTATTTACAAACTATTTTCTTAATGAAATGACATGTACATCTCACAATGTTTCTAGCTAAATAACTTCTCACAATTAAATAATAAATTCTATGAGAAATTTCAGAATCGAAATCATAGGGATGATTTACTAATACTTAAGGACCTCCCTGAACCTGCCTTAAAAGACAATATTTAATGAGCATTTTGAGATTAGAAATAATTGTTTTTTTCTAATCCCATGAAACAACATATAAGTATTCCACCATTTAAACTGAAACTTTAATACGTCAAGTATTGTTGTGATATTGTGAAAGATATATTTGAACTTTGAACCGTTTGGTGGCACACAACTGCTAAAATCCTTGGAATCTCCAAAGTAATAAATGTCTTTTTGTATGCTAATGAAGTAACTGATGGCTGGCAACTCCTAGGTAGCTTCAGGATGGGGGCTGGTCACCGGAAGGGCCAAGACAGGATTAGAGTTTGGGACTTACAGTCCCACACCCCCAACCTCCGGGGAGAAGAGACTGATTGAAGGTTAAGTTGATCTCCGACGGCCAATGATTTAATTAATCATGCCTGTGTAATGAAGCCTCCATTAAAACCTAAGAAAGGACAGAGTTTGGAGAGCTTCCTATAAGCAAACCCGTGAAGGTTCTAGGAGGGTGGCACACCCGGAAAGGGCATGGAAGCTTGGCGCCCCTGCCCACATACCCTATCCATCTCTTCATCTGGCGATCATCCATATCCTTTGTAACGTCCTTAACAGTAAACCGGAAAACCTAAGTGTTTGCCTGGGTTCTGTGAGCTGCTCTAGCAAATTAATCAAGCCCAAGGAAGGGGCCATGGGAACCCCGATTTATAACTGGTCAGTCAGAAGCACAGGTGAAACAACTTGGGGCTTGTGATTGGCATCTGAAGCAGAGCGAGTCTTGCAGGCCTGGGCTCTTAATCTGTGGGATCTGATGCTGTCTCCAGGTAGATAGTGTCAAAATTGAATTGGATAACACCCAGGTGGTGGCTGCTGCAGAGCGATTGCTTGCTCGGTATGTGGGGAGAAACCCCTACACATTTGGTCACAGAAATCTTCTGTGTTGATCGTTGAGTGAGAGTATAGGAGAGGCTGAGTTGTTGTTGTTTTTTTCTTTTTCTGCAGTAGCTAAGTGTTAAAGACTGAAAGTTCAAAAACTTAAGGCAGTCGTAAAATATTAGGCAATGCCTATGAGAAATGAGGCTGTCCCTTTATTCAGGGTGTCAGTGTTTAATGGTAAGCTGGGATGCATATAAGCTAGTCCAAGCATGAAGGGCAGTAGGACACTCATATGAAAAGCCAACTTTGTTCCTCAGTTATCAAGATAAGAAACCTGTCATTTCTCTCATTCACTCTGTCAGCCTTGAGATACTCCAAGCAGACTTACCTCTGTGTTGTACACCCCATATATCAGGAAGATGAAGAGACCCTGTAAAATAAAATGGAGGGGGAAAGCTGTTAACGCTAATCATTTCAGCAGTAGAAATACCTGAAATAAACTTTCCTGGGAACAGACAAAAGAAGACACACTTCATCAAGGTCAATTTATTTTCCTATTTTTCAACATTAGAAGGTGTACCTTGAGCATTTATATGATAACATAGCAAGCACATTACTTATAGCAGTTGTGCTATTGAATTCTTTAGAAGTAGAAAATAGAAATACCATTCCAAGTGTAAAGAATATTAATTAGAAAAATCAATATACCAGTCTCTGAAAGATAGCCAGGTAATGAAAAACTAAACTCAGGAAATGTTATTAAAGAAATCATAGCAATAACACTAAACATCAGTATTTCCAAGCCCTGTTTTAGACTGTAGCAACTAGAATATATTTGTTACAATCTTCAACAGGGTTAAAAATTGAAAAAATTACAAAGCAGCTAAATGAGTAAACTTAAGGAAATAAGATGCATAGGTTTTAAAATAATACTTGAAATACCAGCTCAAGATAAAATCTGTTTTATTATCTGTTGTGAACTGCATACATTTTTATTGTAATCTATACATGTAATAAATATTCCAAAGATGTTAATCAGTCTTTAGCTTTAGAAAATGCTTAATTAGAAAATATAAATTGAACCATACTCTTAACTCTAAAATCTTAACTTTTAAAAGTAAATCAAACTGATATGCTTTAAACTTAGAGAAAACAGAAAGCAAAAATTTTCACTGGTAAGGAAATAAAAATCTATATTTTAGTATTCTTGTTAGGTACTAACAAACCAAATATTGAATAGGAGTCTGTACTCAATCTGGAAATGGTTTAAATAGTTAAGTAATATGATACTTTCAAAAGGAAAATATTAAAGGAATATTTTAACATGTGTTTATCTCTGAATGCTTAGAGTTTACAGATAATGGAAACAATCCCAGAACAAAGAGATTGTATAAAACAAGTGATTCTTGTTTTTGTTTCTTTTTAAATAGACTTTGTTTTTGAGAACAATTTTAGTTTTACAGAAAAATTGAGAAGATAGTACTCAGAGTTTGCATATATATCCCATCCCCAGTTTCTTCTGTTATTAACATTTTACATTAGTGTGGTATATTCATTACAGTGAATCTAATCCTTTTCAATACTACTACTACCTTTATAATTTCAGAAACTAAAACTATTGCAATACATACATTTGTATTAATAATAATGATTTATGGAGAGTTATGAACAATAACATATTTCCATTTTGATAATAAACTTTTAAATATTAAGCTATAGACACACTTTTTTTACTGTGTATGCACAATGTCCCAAAGTTCAATACCAACACTCACTCTCCACATTCCAGGAGCCTTGGTCAACGTCTTGTAGCCACTCAGTACTTGAATTTAGTACTCATTTTATAGGCTACTTGCTTGCCCCAATTCTGGATAATTCCAAATAGTTCAAGAAAATTTTTTTTTTGATTTATGTAAAAACTCTAAGCTAATTAACAGTTCCTCTTCCCTCAATAATTGTTATTTTTTATTCCTTATTTTGCTGCACAAATAAAAAATTAAGAGTAAGTTAAGTTACTCAAATTTTAATTCTGTTTATGAGATAGGAATATTTTGCTTTGTACAATAGATGAGTTCCTGAATAAATAAAATTTTTTGAACATTGGGCAACATACATTATGGTTTCTATATAAGAAACCCAGCTGCTGGTGGGACGCCATGGCTCACACCTGTAATTCAAACCTTTGGAGTCTGAAGCAGGCAGATCACAAGTTAAGGAGTTCAAGACGAGCCTGGCCAACATGGTGAAACTCTGTCTCTACTAAAGTTACAAAAAAATTAGCCAGGCTTGGTGGTACACCTGTAATCCCAGCTACTTGGGAGGCTGAAGCAGGAGAATCGCTTGAACCTGGGAGGTGGAGTTTGCAGTAAGCCAAGATTGTGCCATTGCACTCCAGCCTGGTCAGCAGAGTGAGACTCTGTCTCGAAAGGAAGAAAGAAAAGAAAAGAAAGAAAGAAAGAAAGAGAAAGAGAGAGAGAGAGAGAGAAAGAAAGAAAGAGGAAGGAAGGAAGGAAGGAAGGAAGGAAGGAAGGAAGGAAGGAAGGAAGGAAGGAAGGAAGGAAGGAACCAACCAACCCAGCTGTTGGCCGGATGCAGTGGCTCACACCTGTAATCCCAACTGTTTGGGAGGCTGAGGCAGGAGGATTGCTTGAGGCTGGGAGTTTGAGACAGGCCTTGACATAGCAAGATCCTATCTCGACCAAAAATTTAAAAGTTAGCCAGGTATGGTGCTGCACGCTTGTAGTCTCAGTTGAAGGCGGGAGGATCACTTTAGCCCAGGAGTCAGAGGCTGCAGGGAGTTATGATAGCACCACTGCACTCCAGTCCATCCTGGCAACAGAGTAAGATCCTATCGCTAAAAAAGCTTTTTAAAAAGAAAATCAAAGTGCATTTTAACAGTGGTACAATCACCGCTATAATTTATTTGTTTTGTAAGTTTCATTTTTCCCCATGTCTTGGTAAACTGAGAAAATAGAGTATGCTTCACCTTTTTATTTGCTACACTACCATGTTACTTGTTATACATTTTTAATTTTAGTACATTTAACCCTTAAATGTAGAATGATCACAACAAAAATCTTCCTTTTGAAAATAGGATTTAGAATTTACAATGATTTTAAATAAAGGCAGCTTCCATCTCAAAAGCTTTTTCTCTTTTTCCCTGTCCTCAACAGGCGTACACCTAACAAGCATGGTAAGGAAGCCCAGAAGGGCTTCTAAAGACCATGAGACAATCAGAAACCTAAAATCATGCCAAGGACTCTCTGCTGCTTTTGCTTGGGGTGTCTACCTGATGCTACCACAACCATTTGAAAGACATAACATTAACAATAAAAATTAGCTTTTTTGTAACTAATTTTATGCCCCATAATTGTATGCCCCCCACATGATGACTTTTTTCTCCATTAATTTTACCAGCTAGTCAGTTACGATCATTTAGATCTAACGCCACAGAGCTTCATACACCCTTCACTACTAGAAAAACATCCTATTTTTTCAAAGGGAAGAATCAAAACAGAAACAGCTAAACGTAAACATCTTAAGCCATAACTATGAGCCACTTTTAAATTCCTGCAGAGAGAATACCTTTAAGAACAGCCGGAAGGAAGCAACTGCCAATTTTCAACTGGCACTGTGATTTCTGGAACTCCTTATAGCAACATTCTGTCCTATGAAAGAGTGAATACTGAAAAGTACTCCACATTTCTGAATTGAATGATCTCTCATGTCTGTTATGTGGTTTCTGCTATTCCATTCATAGACCCGTTCATCTGTAATGTATTAACATATGAAGTATTTTCTATAGAGGTACCTATTTCTCAATGTTTGAGTCACAGTAAAAATAACAGTAATTGGGCAGGAAGCATCCAAAGTGTAGCTGGATTCCTGCAGCATGCGTGTACTTTATGGGCAGGGGCCAGGAGTCGGGAAAGAACACCAGGATATTACATCTGATACTGTACAGCAGTTAAAAATAGAAACTTAAGGGAAAGAGAAAAAGAAAAACATTCATGATGATTTCATTCTCATTTATCTATAAAACATTGAAAACTGAGGCAACTTTGTAAATACTGTCACTGTTCCAGAAGTCTATCGAACATTATCTGCAAATAGATTCAGTGGTTGACATCAAGTCTGTTGTTTTTATATGGATCTGTACTTTTATAGTACACTTCATGATTGTTACAGAATCAATCTTCTTTAAGTGGTAATCTATTCTTTTTTGTATATACAAAGAACAGGAAAGGTGCCCCATACCTAGTACATGGCCTCCTCAGGAATCAGAATATTAACAGTGCTAATATCTGGATAGCTCTCTCAAGCACTTTCATTTACATAATTTCATTTGTTCTTCACTACAACATTGCAAAGGAGGCAGTGTGAGTATTAGTAATTTTATTTTATATATGGGGATTTCAAGGCTTGCTCAAAGTGCCACAATGCTGACAAGTTGGCAGAGCCAAGGATTACTGTTTGACTCCTGATATAGTGATCTTTCACAAACACTGCCTTAAATAGGCCCCTTCATAACTCATAAGTAACCAGCTTCAAGATAATGCAATTGGTGAGAGTCTTCAAAGCTCAGCTTTATTAAAAGCATATTGCAGTTTGATTAGCTCATAGTATCAGGGACTCAGTACTGAGTAACAGGGCTTCAGATAACCCTGGTCCTCCACCTAGCAAGTACAACAAGAAATATGGTTTGTGAAAACGATTCTCAGTTGCTATGGACCAAGTTCTGTCTTTTGTACCTTCCTTATAGATTCTCATTCAATGACGTATATTTTCTGGTTGCTGGGAAACATACCTTTTACCATCAAAAAAGGCTGCTAGGTAACTATATTGTCAAATATTCTTATCGTTGTCATCCTTTTTTTTGAGACTGAGTCTCTGTAGCCCAAGCTGGAGTGCACTGGTGCGATCTCAGCTCACTGCAATCTTCGCCTCTAGGGCTCAAGTGATTCTCCCAAGCAGCTGGGACTGCAGGCATGCACCACCACACCCTGTTAATACTTTCTGCATTTTTAGTTTCACCATGTTGCCCTGGGTGGTCTCTAACTTCTAAACTCGAGCAATCCATCCACCCCAGCCTCCCAAAGTGCTGGGATTACAGGTGTGAGCCGCCACGCCCAGCTACTGAACTTTGTTGAATGTATATTACTATACTGTGTGCTTTTATATATTTGCAAATCCTGTTCCAATCTACTTTCTATAAACAATTCCCATTTGGGGGGTTAGATCCTACAGAAACAAAAGCATTAGTGTCCAAGGATATGTATTTTTGAGGTTGCTTGTTGCAGCATTGTGCACAGTGGCAAAGAAGTAAAAACAACTTGATGCCCTTCAACACGAGAACAGCTGAATAAATTGTGACATCTTTATCCCTTAGGATATTAGGCAACTAAAAGAATGAGTTAGAGCTGTATTAGC